ACTTTACTACCGTTCTTTTTTTTTTTCTTTTTTAGAGACAAGTCTCACTTTGTCACCGTCAGTAGAGTGCTGTTCTGTCATAGCTCACAGCAACCTCAAACTCTCAAGTGTTTCTCTTGCCTCAGCCTCCTGAGTAGCTGGGACTACAGGAGTCTGCCATAGTGCCTGGCTTTTCTATTTTTAGAAACAGGGTCTTACTCTTGCTCAGCCTGGTCTCCAGCATATGAGCTCAGGCAATCCACCCGCCTTGGCCTCCCAAAGTGCTAGGATTACAGGCATGAGCCACCATGCCCAGCCTTTACCACCGTTCTTGAATAGCTGGTTTCAAAACTGTGGCATTCAAAGAATAAATTAATGGCAAAAAATTTGTGGAGCTAAGTAAAATATGGTGCTATATTTCTGACCAAATAAAGTCACTAAAGAGACTAAAAGTTATTTTTATGAGTCTCATGATTGAAGAAAATTGTTTTAGCCTTGATTTTTAATACTCCTTTGAATATAGCAGAAATTTCCTGAGGCACTTCCTAAGTAGATATTTTATGATGGATGAATATCTTTCCTCAGATTTTATACCTTATGCATTTTGTTATCAATAAAATAATATTGTGCCTTCAGAGAATTCTCACAATATTCCTGAATTAGTCAATTGAATATAGTCTATGTTATAGGTACTGGGCAGGTTCTCAAAGAACTCTCATTTTTGCATACCAGAAGAAAAATGGAAGATTTATTACTATTTTAAATCTTTCATGGTTCCAGCTGCCCCTGCCACTTGCCTCCTATTGCCTTCGTCATTCTATTTCCTCTTCTCTATCCGCTTCCTTTTTCTCATTTTTACTACATCTCTTTTATTGAAGCTATTTCTATCTTTCCATCTACATGTATATTCTATCTCGATATCTGTCATCTTTACTTCTCCACCAGCAAGGTATCATCTATCATTAATCAAGAATGTATCCCTTTATATTTCAATAATATATGAGTTTGGGGATTTCAATTTTCAAACATAGCAGAATGACTTTTTTTTTCCCCTGTCACAATTACTGTTGGTATATGAAGCCATTTGGAGATCCAATTCAGAGAACAACTCATTGAAGAATGACAACTCTCTACCAAGACATAAAGAGAACCACAGTCATCCCACACAGTCATCTTTAGAAGAGAGTGTGGCTCCTACCAAGGCTCTCAAAACCACAGGCAAGGGCATGGTTAAGGCATACTGGAATCTTGATTCAAGAGGGGTAATTGCTAAGGCCTGGGGTTAATTGCTAAGGAAAGATAGTGGCGTGAAGAGAGTGTGCCTAGACTCAAAGGAATGCACACTTAGCAGTATTATTTTAGTGTAATGTGTCCTTGTTATATATACAAGGTAACATTATAAATGCCTCATGTACTTGGATGAACAGTTCTAAGTTGGACTGTTTTTTTTTAAATCAGTAACTGATTTATCACTGGCTACGTGTTTATACCTATGTAAGAGTATATGATCTGATGCAAGGAGGGAGGAAAGTATTGTCTCCCCTTAAGGAATTGACATTTTAAAACTGATACTGGCTCAGTACAGTGGCTCATGGTTGTAATCCAGCACTCTGGGAAGCTGAGGCAGGTGGATTGCCTGTGCTCTTGGGTTCAATACCAGCCTGGGCAAGAGTGAGACCCCTGTCTCTAAAAAAAAAAAAAAA